GGAGTCTTTGATGGGGATCACAGTCCTGTCTGACAGATGTCTGACACGACGTGGAGAACGGAAGCCTCCTGCTTGGAGCCTGAAGAGGAAGGCGAGCCTTGCTGAGCTGTCCACGCCGTTCTCTTAGGAAGCGGATCCTCTCCGGTCTGGATGAATACGCAGTCCTTTGAAGATCCAAGCCAGGGCTAACGCTGGAGACGACCGCACACATTAGCCCCTCGCAGCCGAGGTTGGCCGAGATCACCGTGTGAGTCCTTGGATTGTGCGTGTTCTAAAACATGAGCTGCCTGTGCCGCTCCGCACATCGTTTATCTCTCACAGGCTCCGTGACGAGTTTCACCTGACGAGCTAGGTCGTCACGTGGCCTGGGAACGCGTTTCGTCACTCACTGAGTTCCTTTCCCCCTGTGGCCCTTCCCGTGGAAACCCTGGTGTGCCATCAGTCACCCTCTCCTTCTGAGCCCTTGGCCTCTGCTCATTGCTCTGCTGGTCAGCGCCTGCACTGTGACAAGCTGAGTAACTGTCCCCCCATAGATGTGTGCAGTCCAGCTCCCAGAAACTGCCTGCGTGACCTCACGTGGCAAAGGAAGGTCGTGGTTGCAGAGTAATTGAATGTGCTGTTGGGTCTGGCTCAGGCAGAGACCGAGTGGGCCCTGGCACAGTCTGAAGGACCCCCCCCACCCCCGTTAGAAGAGAGAGGCAGAGGGAAGTTGGAGGGGAACGACACAAAGGCTGTTGACCCACCCTGCCTGGCTGAGAGCGATGAGGAAGGGCGGGGAGCCTGGACACAAAGGAAGCTCTCAAGGCCGGAGAAAGCCCGAAGACCCTCTCCCGGAGCCCCCAGGTCATCTCAGAGCTCGGGCTTTCTTAAGAGGATGTTTGTGTGGCACCATTTCTCATGACAGTAATGAAAGCTAATCCCTTTACATGAGTGAGAGGAAGGAAAATGCAGAAGAGAGTCAAGGCTGCCTGTCCAGGGGCTGGGACGCAGCCGTCGTGTGGTTGGGAGGGAGCAGCAGGGCCATCGGCATGCTTTCCGCGACTGCTGTCCGCGGGATCATGCCTGTTGCCAGGTAGCGACATGAAATGCACGGGTCCCCAGAACGCTGCCCATGGCTCTGGCCTGCCCACGTCCACCTCCTTGGCTATGGCCAGGAGGTCTCTTAGATGAGACCCCTTTCTTCTCTTGGGGGAGCCATCTCCCAAGTTTCCGCTGCCTCCCCAGTACAGTCCATGCAGCTGTGTGGGAGACCCTGACAGAATTCCTGGCTTCTGGCTTCCGCCTGGCCCAGCCCTGGCCATTGTGTCCATTTGGGGAGGGAAGCAGTGCATGGAACATTCTCTCTCTCTCTCTCTTTTTCCCCCATCCCCATGTATATCTGCCGTTCAAATAAATAAATCTTTAAAATAAATAAATAAAAGCAGCAGCAGGGTTGAGTGTTGGGCCCAGTGGTTAAGTCTCTGGTTAAAATGCCCAGGTCTCAGAGTACTAAGTTCAGGTCCCCGCTCTGCCTCCTGACTTCAGTTTCCTGCTGATGCCCACTCTGGGTGTAGTAGGTCATGGCTGCAGTAGCTGAGTTCCTGCCACCAATGTGGGAGACACAGAGTTAGTTCCTGGTTTCCCACTGTGACTGTTGTGGGCATTTGTGGAGTGAACCAACAAATGGCAGATCTTTTCCTTTCTCTCTCTCTCTCTCTCTCTCTGTCTCAAATTAAAAAAAAAAAAATTACACATATCAAAATAGCCACCCTGTCTTATTTAGTTTTTTTCCAAGGATCCTTTTTCAAGAATTGTTTTGCACCTTGCATCTATTTGTACCATAAAACACTGAGAAGAATCTCAAGTTTAGCATGGAAAGAATCAAAATCCTTGAGCCTTAACTGACTGGATTTTCTCTAGCATTCCTGTTTTCTAGGGCTCCAGATTTGGTGTTTGTGTTAGCTTGATAGTGAGCCCACCCTGGTGAGACCCCCTGCACAGCTGCTGTTGAAAATGTCTGCAGTAGAATTTGGAAACTCTAAAGCAGTATTCAGGTGGAAGGAGTTGTTTTTATAATTGTATAATTTTTATCGTCACTTTGTATTCTGACTGCAGAGGACTCAGTCTTTGTATGATGGCAGGAGAAATACCCCCAGGGATTTCTCTTTTGACAACTGCTGTCAGAATTCAAAGTCCTCAAATGGTTGGTATAATTTTTAGTAATCAATAAAACACATCCTTCACACTGCATAGTTTTTTATAAATTGTGTTTCTAGTATAGACAAGGAAAACACATTTTATCAAGATGAATGAACCCATGTTGGTTTAATACTTTGCATAGGTGCCATTATCATTAATTTAAAAAATAGCAGACAGAAGCCATTGATGAAACAATGCGATTTAAATGTATTGAAAACAGATTTTATTTTTGAAATGTTTTGAAAGTGTTGATAAATATCTGAAAACTGTAGATGTCCAACTATGGATACATCCAGCTTGATTGAACATATTGCTTGCGTGCTCACTGTTAGATTTGGGTAAAGCTAACTTGTTAGGTTACAGTGACTTGAAAAGCTAGGCAAAGCCATGACTAAGAATCTGCTGTAGGTTTTTTGAATTATTATTTGAATTGTATGTATTCACGGGGGAATACATTGTGATAGCTTGATATGTGTATACAGTGTGTAAGTATTAGATATTAGTTAGCATTTCGTTCTCCTTATACCTTAAAAATGTGAATTAGCATTTAGTAATTGTTGTTTTTATGGAGTACTTGTGGTATTTCAGTAGGGTGCACAGCTTGCACAGGGTGCCTAGGGCTTCCCTCTCCTTACCACTGCTCTGGGCTTGGTCCCTTTGAAGTAGGCAGGCTCACAGGTTAAAATTGATCAGATTTGTGAACTGGAAGACCACGCCCCTGTGTGACCTCATGCTCCTACCTGATGCCTTTGCCACGCCCCTGTGTGGCCTCATTCCCCTACCTGGCCACACCGGGGTGCCCATCAGCCTATCAGGGTAATTAACCACTCCCCTTTGGAAGTGGGTTAAAAGCTGGACACAGTGTGCCCGGGCGGCTCTTCTTCCCTGGCCTCTAGTCAGGAGGGGGCTTGCTGTAGCCCTGCGCCTCCAGGGCCCGTGGCCTTCGGGCCATGTGCTCTAGGCTTCCTGGCCTAGATGCTCATCCATGTGGCTGGTTCCTGGTGCTCAGTATGAACCCCTATTCACCTCTCTCCCCTAAATAAAGCTCTCACTCTCCTGTGCACCTTTCTCACTAAATAAAAGCTTAAAACGTACCATGCTACTTCTTTTATCTGTGCCGGTATTTAGAATTCTTCTCTAAATATTAGGCAAGGACCCTCTCGGGCTTATTAATATTGGGGATTTAGTAGTAAGCCCATGGTGAAATCATAAGGCACCCCAAATTCCAGTAGCACATGTGGCACCCTGGATAGCATTTCTAGGGAACTTCAAGGGGCCACATTTCAGGGTAAATTTTAGGGGGTCTTTTCTGATTTCACCTTGCACTCTCGTCTGCTTGCTCATAAAGTACAGAACAGGTGGTGGTGAACTGTAGTCACCCCCGGTGCTCTAGACACTGCGACTCACTCCTCCCGGCTCCTGTCTGGGCCCCTGGGTCCCTGTGGAGTTTGGGTCCTTTCACACCTTCTCAGTGATTGTCGGCAAGTGCTGGATTTCCTTGTCTTCAGGTCAGCACTGGTCAGCTCGTGCAGCTTCTGCTGTTTCCGTCAGAGAGGAAGCATCCTGGGAGAAGCCTGTCTTCCCTCCGTGTGGCAGAGCTGCTTCCGTGGTGCGGCAGGGAGCTGGCCTTGTGGTCTCTGCAGAACCGATCGCCAGTGAACGCAGCTGGTGCAGAAGGAGTGTGCGGGGCCTGTCCATGCTGACGGTGCTAGAGACTGACGCACCCGGAATGCGCTTTACCGGGAACCGCAGGGCTGTTCTCGCGGACACGCACCCAGGGTCTGCTCTCCTGCCCTGCTGGGTACCGTCAGAGCCGCTCTCGCGGACACGCACCCAGGGTCTGCTCTCCTGCCCTGCTGGGCACCGTCAGAGCCGCTCTCGCGGACACGCACCCAGGGTCTGCTCTCCTGCCCTGCTGGGTACCGTCAGAGCCGCTCTCGCGGACACGCACCCAGGGTCTGCTCTCCTGGCCTGCTGGGCACCGTCAGAGCCGCTCTCGCGGACACGCACCCAGGGTCTGCTCTCCTGCCCTGCTGGGTACCGTCAGAGCCGCTCTCGCGGACACGCACCCAGGGTCTGCTCTCCTGCCCTGCTGGGTACCGTCAGAGCCGCTCTCGCGGACACGCACCCAGGGTCTGCTCTCCTGGCCTGCTGGGCACCGTCAGAGCCGCTCTCGCGGACACGCACCCAGGGTCTGCTCTCCTGCCCTGCTGGGTACCGTCAGAGCCGCTCTCGCGGACACGCACCCAGGGTCTGCTCTCCTGCCCTGCTGGGTACCGTCAGAGCCGCTCTCGCGGACACGCACCCAGGGTCTGCTCTCCTGCCCTGCTGGGTACCGTCAGAGCCGCTCTCGCGGACACGCACCCAGGGTCTGCTCTCCTGCCCTGCTGGGCACGTCCTGACATGTTCTCATGCTGCGCGTCTTCCCTCTCCCTGCCTTTATGTCACGCTGTCCTGTTCTCTGCCCTGAGTCACCTTGTTCTTTCAAGGACGTTCATTCACAGTGTGCAGTGGCTTCTGATTCAACCCCCAGACGTGGCGCTCCTCCCTGGGAGTGTGAGTGGGACCGGCAGCTACCACTGACCCCATCTGTGGAATGTTTCCTCTCACCAGCAGTTTGGGGTCTTCTCTGGGCAGATCTGTGTGAACACATCTCAGCATTGTCATCCTTGAAACAGCTCACGTGAATTCCCAGATGGACTTGATGTCGCCGCCACGGCTGTGCTGCTGGGGTTGGTTTTTCAAGGTTGCTCCGTCGCTTTGGAGCAGTCTGTGTGTTGGAATGACCGACACCAGCACTTGCTGCTTTCTCTGCCCCGCAGGTACTACAGTGCAACCATTCTGCAGATGTCTGGCGTGGAAGACGACCGGCTGGCCATATGGCTGGCCTCCCTGACGGCCTTCACGAACTTCATCTTCACCCTCGTCGGAGTCTGGCTTGTGGAGAAAGTGGGCCGCAGGAAGCTTACCTTTGGTAGCTTAGCAGGTAGGTGACTGGGTGAGGAATTCAGATATTAACTTCTTTTCTAATGAAGGCAAATAAACCTTCCAAATACAAGAAAGGTACCATCTCTGATACTGATTTCTTAGGCAAACAGCATGAGATTACAGTTATTCAAGAAAAAAAATAGTTTTGAACACGTTAGACTATGTGACGAGAAACTAGAATGTAACTAAAACAAATGCAGGAACAGATCGGATCTATGGAGGATAACACTTTCCTGTTACTATTTTGCCTTGTACTCAACAAGAATAAAGTGAAAAGAATGATCATTTCTTGTTCCATCTTTGTTTAAAAAAAAACTCAGTATTCAGGCCAGCGCCTTGGCTCACTAGGCTAACCCTCTGCCTGCGGCGCTGGCATCCCGGATTCTAGTCCAGCTGGGGCGCCGGTTCTGTCCTGGTTGCTCCTCTTCCATTTCAGCTCTCTGCTGTGGCCCGGGAGTGCAGTGGAGGATGGCCCAGGTGCTTGGGCCCTGCACCCCATGGGAGACCAGGAGGAAGCGCCTGGCTCCTGGCTTTGGATCGGTGCAGCATGCCGGCCGTGGCGGCCATTTGGGGGGGGGGGGTGAACCAACGGAAGGAAGACCTTTCTCTCTGTCTCTGTCTCTCTCACTGACTCTGCCTGTCAAAAAAAAAAAAAAAAAACTGGTATATTTATAAACTCACCTTTTAACTTATATTTTGTATTTTTAACTTTGAGAGAGAAAGGAGGGGAGGGGAGACTGATCCTGTCCATTTGTTAACTCCCCAAATGCCCAGGCCACGCCAGCAGCAGAGGCTTGGTCCTGGGCTCCCACGAGAATGGGAGAACTCCGTCTGCTGAGCCGTCGCCAGCACCTCCTGAGGTCTGCAGCAGCAGGGAGCTGGAGGAGGGAGCCAGAGCGGGGCACTGAGTCTGGTCCTCCAGTGGGTGTGGGGTGTGGGCGTCTTAACTGCGGGAGGAACTACAAGGCTCACCACCCACTCCTGTTGTTTTCAAGTTTAGAAAAATGTGAGAACAAATTTACAACATTTTTTCCTAAAGCTCATTCAGCAGTAGAGTGTTACAACCCTATAATTTCCCCATAAAGGAGTGACAGACTCTACGTTCAAAACCAGCCTAAATTCCAGGGTAAATTCCAATGGATCAAGTGTATTTTCTGTGATAGCTAAATAAGACAGAAACGTCTTTTACCCTCAAGTGTCTTTGTGTCTAAATTCTGACTATTCTCTGCGAGACCAGGCTGTTAGACTGACGTAGTAAGAACCCTTAGTGTTGCCGGCGCCGCGGCTCACTAAGCTAATCCTCCGCCTTGCGGCGCCAGCACACCAGGTTCTAGTCCCGTTCAGGGCGCTGGATTCTGTCCCGGTTGCTCCTCTTCCAGGCCAGCTCTCTGCTGTGGCCCGGGAGTGCAGTGGAGGATGGCCCAAGTGCTTGGGCCCTGCACCCCATGGGAGACCAGGAGAAGCACCTGGCTCCTGCCATCGGATCAGCGCGGTGCGCAGGCTGCAGCACGCCGGCTGCGGCGGCCATTGGAGGGTGAACCAATGGCAAAGGAAAATCTTTCTCTCTGTCTCTCTTTCTCACTGTCCACTCTGCCTGTTCAAAAAAAAAAAAAAAAAAAAAAGAACCCTTAGTGACATTATCTTCCTGTGGGCATGTCATGTAGTTTGCCAGTTCTTTTCAGAAAGGCAAGCATATCCTTACTTACCAATTAGCTGTCCTCTAATGGCTCCTTTATAAGATTATTTGGAATAAAAATACATTTTCCATTAAAATGTAAATTTTCTAGGGTAGCATTAAATACATTCCATTTTAACCAAATTATGCACAAATATTGATTTAATAAGACTTTTTTTAGGGACTTGTCCCTAGTTTTCTTTTTAATTTTCATTGGTTTATTTTTATTTTATTTGGATGGTAGAGAGTCAGAAAAACAGAAAGAGAGAGAGAGAGAGAGAGAGATCTTTGGTATGTTCTTTCTCTCCCCAAAGGCCCTTAGCAACTGGGACTGGGCCAGGACAGAGCCGGGAGCCCAGAACTCAATCCAGATCTTCCGTGTGAGTGACAGGGATCCAAGCACTTGAACCAGTACCTGCTGCCTTCCTGGTATGCATTGACAGGAAGCTAGAATCAGAAGGGAAGCTGGGAGTTGTATCCAGGAGCTCCTTTATTGGATGTGGGTATCCCAAGCAGTGTCCCAACCGCTGTACCCAACACGGTCCCTAGATTTCAATAAGGAAATGCATGCTGGTTTCCAGACTCAGTTACTGGGAATGCGTACCCTTCTCCAGCCCCCTCTAGAAGGAGGAATAGATAGAGAGCTGCTACCCCGTGTTCTTACCTAAGCCGGGGAAGCTCCCAGTCAGTAGTATGAGTTGAGCTGTCTTACCAGCTCTACCGGAGGGCGAGAGATTGCCTGGTTAAGAAGCACAGGTGCTGAGAGTAGCCAGGGAGAGGAAATGATGCTATGTAGAAAGATGCAGAAGCCTTTTACAACCTCCTTTGATGAACCTGTTGAAGAGACCAGAAGGGTTTAAACAGCCTGAGGAGCAGACTAAGAGAAGCCTAATCGACACCTTATTCCAGCTGACAGTAGATGCTGTAGACCTCTGCTTGATAGAGGAAAATCATTCCTTTTTTAAGTTATTTGAGAGGCAGAGAGAGACACCAGTGTCAACGTAGACACAGACAGATGTAGACCTAGAGATAGAGAAAAGTCCCTCCCCTGGTTCAGTCTCCAGATGCCTGCCATGGCAGGGCCAAAGCCGGAGTCAGGAGCTCAGTCCCAGTCTCTCAGATGGGCAGCAGGAAGCCGATGACACGAGCAGTCATGCTTGCCCCCCAGAGTCTGCATCAGCAGGAAGCTGGAGACAGATACTGAAGCCAAGTACTCAGGTACTGAAGCCACGTACTCCAGTGTGGGATGTGGGCGTCTTACCTGACGTCTCAATCAGAGCTATTGGTCCAGGAGATGGTGGATCTCAATTAGGACAGCACGCGATGGACTGGGTCATCATCTGACAGTGATGTGCTGAAGATCAATTCCTGCAGGGTGCCGGAACTGGACTTGCTGGCCCCTGACGTTCAGGACAGCTCTTACGGGAGGATTCTCACAGTTGCATTCAAAATGAACACCCAGTGGGGCTCCCGCAGGAGCTGGGCTTTCTCATGCAGACTGAAAGTGCTTCCTAAATTATGGAGGTGGCTTTTGAGAGCTGGGGGAACTTGTGCTTCCATCTGTCGTAGTGCCTTACGACACTTCATCAGTTCCTCGGAATTGTCTGGGTCTTCCTGAGATGCACACAGACCGTGGAGTTTGATTGTCTGACTTTGGGTGAGTTCTGTTTCCTCATCTGTACCTGGGGCCCAATTACTATCCCTCCATCGTAGAATCGCAGTGGGGATTTAAGGTCTTTATCCAGAGGTAGCGTTTAAAACACAGCCCAAAACAGTGCATTTTAGCCATCAGCTTTATTGCAACCGAATCAGCCCCCACGAAATCATCTACGCCTGCCTTGTCTTCCACCTCCTAGTGTCGGTCGTCTGTTCTGTGGAGGACAAGGGCCCACCCCTGACCATGAAGAGGGAGTGTTAGGGTCACTGCTTGAGGGAGAGAGGTAGCGGTTTCAGGTCCTGCTTCCCCTGAGCACCCTTTGGGCTCCTTTTCCTTCCACCTCGACTCTGTCCACTGCAGATGTCCCACTGCTGGCTCCTCCTGCGTGGACGCACCTCCCATCTACATACAGCCAGCTAAAGTGACTTGCTGGCTAGTTATCGTGGGTTAGGACGTAGGAGGCATGGTGTCTTGTCGAGGTCTCTGCTTTTACCTGTCCATGTACCGTACCTAGTGCTGTTTTCCAGGTTTTGTTTTCCACTGGGATTGTGTAGGTCCCAGCGCAAGGTAATGACCTGTGAGAGGTGACATCCCCAGAGGATGGCTTACTGCTCCTCAGCCCTGTTAGTGTACACGAGCCATCAGTGTCCTCCTCCCCATAGCTGTCTGCTTCAGTATGATTTTGCTTTGTTCATATCTGTATACATACATATTTGATCTTCTAGCAGTATTGAGTAATAATACTCTTAAATTTCTGAAATAGATTCTAGCCTAGAATTTGTAAATTGTAAGTTTCATATGGCTCCCTATTTTTTATTCTTATTACAGTTTTTATATTGGGTTAAAAATAGTGAAAAAAAATCTCCTGTCAAAATAATGTTTGAATAGGTTTTCATTTTATAAAAAGTTAACACAAGTAAACTGTATTTAAGCTTGGACAAAGAAACTCTTCTTGCAAAGAAATATAAAATTTGTTAGTCCATGAATAATTCTAAATGTAGGACATTTTGTGGTGTTCTGACTTTTGGTATTTTAAAAACTTGAGAGAACTGGTCTTCTTTTGTGAATATTAGAAATTTAATGACAACCTCTTGATTTCTTTTAATAGTGAGAGGTTTATAGCTATGTGACTTGATTTGTAATAAATCAGAAAGCCAATAACACTGTTTTTTGCTACCATGTATTTTGGAGTGGAATATTTCTGAAAATGTTATTTATGGACTGTCTGCATCAGAACCACCAGAGGTTCTTACTTTACACTGTAGATTTTTGGGCGCTACCTCAGATCTCCTAAATTAGACCTTCTCAAGATGGGTCTGGGGCATGGTATTCTAAACAGGTTCCCTGTGGATATTTAAGTACACAGTGGGTGGGAGCCACTCCTCTAGCAGTCTTGGCAAGGAAAATTAGGTTGTTTCTGAGTACTTACTCGTAAGCTATACTCTTTACCAAATAGTGAATGTCCGTGTTGTTACATGAGATAACTTTGGGAATGCTATTTGTCCAACACACTTTACTTCCCTGTGAAAAACATCTTTATTAGGGTAATTGTATCAAAATTCTTAAATCTTAACAGTATACCTGCTTAACAGAAACTCTTGTCCTGAGATATAAAGAATGTGCCCACATTGGACAGAACACCAGAGAAAGTCTTCATCCACAGCTTTCCTGTACTAGATTCAAACCTATAACTCTGATAATTTTGAATGTGAACAAATTAACAATAAAATGCTTGTAACTTGTTAAGTAAAAGGAACAGGCTAATTCAAGCAGTTTGGTGCTCTAAGGGCATATGCGTGGGTGACAAGGCCAGGTGATCATTTTGAAATTTCCTCCACGAATAGAGTCGTTTATGATACACCCCCTCGCCTCCAGGACCCCGAGACATCTCGGGGGTTTACCCCTGTCTGGACATCCCGATCAGCTGTGGATACCTCGTGCCTTCTGGAGATTCTGCTGCACAGGCCAGGCACATCCCAAGTATGTGTTTCCAGTAGAGAGCTGGACTTGAGAAGCATTGCTGTATGTAATACAGAAGTTAAGGTGTAATACTGTCTTCTGTCTGGGTTAAGCGTTGGGTGCAGCCATTAAGATGCCCTTTGGGATGCCTGCATTCCACACTGGCTTGCCTGGGTTCAAGTCCCGGCTCTGCTTGCAGTTCCACATCTTGGAAGCCACACATGATGGCTCCAGTACCCTGGTCCCTCCCACTAAGGTAGAGGGAGACCCAGATTGAGTTCATGGCTCCTGGCTAGCCTGCCTCAGCTCCTGCTCTTGTAGGCATTTGGGAGTGAACCAGGAGACAGAAGATCTCTCTCTTTCTCTCTCTCTCTCTGCCTTTCAAATAAGGCAATGAATGAAATATTAATATGTTCCCATATGACCTGAATTAAAATAAAAATGAATTTTGCTCAGACTAATTTAAGGATCCTGTTTATCCAGTCTTGTTCACTACCCGTATTCTGCAAGCTCATTCATTGCCTTAGAGAGAGAGGCAACAGATATATTCTCTGTATTGCAGGGGTCTTACCATGGGTGCATTTATCATGAGTTCAGTTGGGTAGTCTTCTTTTAAAGGACTTATTTATGTATTTGAAAGTCGAAGTTACACACAGAGAGGGAGAAACCGAGGTCTTCCATCCACTGGTTCATTCTCCACATGGCCACAAAAGCCAGGACTGAGCCAAACTGAAGTCAGGAGTTTCATCTGAGTCTCCCATGTGAATGGCTGGGGCCCAAACAGATGGGTCATCTTCCACTGCTTTTCCAAGACCATTAGCAGGGAACTGAATCAGAAGTGGAGCAGCTGGAACAGGAACCAGCATCCATTTGGGATGCCAGCGTCACAGACAGCAGCTTAACCTGGTAGGCCTCAATGCCAGCTCTTCAATTGGATATTCCTAATATTATTTTTATTTTCCTCAAAAACAGCTAACATTACAGAAATCTACAGCACTGTGGTCCATCCAGTCAGGTGGTACTTATTGAGATCTCTCTCTTCCTGAATTTGGGTCTGTACGCACTGGAATTCAACATATTTGAATATGTACTAGGCATTTCTATTTATTTTTTCTTTTTTTTTTTAGTTTATTTATTTGAAAGGCAGAGTGACAGATGGGGCCAGAGAGAGAGAGAGATTTTCCATTTGCTGGTTCTCTCTGAAGGACTGCAGCAACCAGGTCTGGGCCAGGCGAAAGCCAGGGGTCATCAGAATTCCATCTTGGTCTCCCACATAGGTAGCAGCAACCCATATATTTCTGCCATTGTCTGCTGCCTTCCCAGGTGCATCAGCAGGCAGCTGGATTAGAAATGGTTTAGCTGGGAATCAAACCCACGACTCTCATGTGGGATGCGGCCCAGTTCACTGTACCACAACACTAACCCGAACACATCACCTTGCAGTGTACACGGAGGTGGGCTATTCAGTAAGTATCACAACAGGAGAGTATCACCTTCCCTCCACATCTTAAAGTTTCCAATTAAAATAATATTTTTGAGCTGTTGCAAAGCAGTAAGCTGTGGATGCAGTTTGGTAAAATACCTAGGGACCTAGGGTCTGAGGTAGACAGGAAAACATTAGGGCTCACGGTTTGATGGGGTGTCTTTGGAGCAGGAGGGATGATTGGCGTTACGGAGCTGTTCTGTGTCTGTCCTGTTTCTCAGGACAGGACTTCAGGGTCGTGAGAACTGTGGTGTCCCCAGCTACCCCCAGCTCTGATTGGGATTTTAAGCCTCAAGAGGGAATACAAATTGATTTTAGGTTTGAGGCCTCGTTGGCCCAATTTGGCCAAATCAGCTCTGATCGTCCCTTCAGACCTTCCTTTCCTTCCAGGTTTTTTCTGATTTGAGATTCTGTTGCTATTGCCGCTGCTGCGACTTATGATAATTATGGGATAATAACCAGCACTTAATAACAGTTTGTAGCATGACAAAGCTCTTTCACGTGCATTTTATTTCCATTGCACTGGGGTGCTTTAAGATGAGCGTTTCGCTATGTAGTTTTACAGGGGCTAAAATTTGCTTTTGCAAAGGCCCTGCCCAAGATCCCGAAGTCAAGAAACTGCAGCACCAGGACCTCACCTTGACCTTCCAGAGGCACCCGAACCCCACGGCGACACATCTCCTTCATCTTAATGCTTGTCTAAACTCCCTAATTTACACACGTTCCATTAAGATAGATAACACAAAGTAATACGCCAGATTCTCTTTGTCTTTTCCTCTCACAGCGTTCTTTGTCTATCCATAGGATGTCTGTGGCTGGAACTGTGGTCAGAAGTTTGAAAACTTTCTTTCTGACCATCTAAGAGTTACAGTGAGAGAGAGAGAGAGAGAGAGAGAGAGAATCTTCCATCCATTGGTTTACTCCCCAAATGGCTGCAGTAGTTAGAGTGGGACCCAGCTGAAGCCAGGAGCTTCTTCCAGGTCTCTCATTTGGGGTCAAAGAGCCCAAGCACTTATACCATTTTGCACAGCTTCTCTCAGGCCATCAGCAGGGAGCCGGACTGGAAGTGGAGCAGCTGCTGTCCATGTGGAATGCCGCCATTTTAGGCAGTGGCTTTGCCTGCCATGCCACAACAGCAGCCCTTAGCATTCCTGTTGGTTAAAATCAAGGATCAGAAATCCACTTCCGAACCCCAACAGGAAAGACAAAAGAATACACATGTCCTGTCTCTCCTGGCACCTTAACGACTTGGCTGAAAACTCCGTTCGTTCTGTAATGAGAACGCTTTCATCTGCTGTAGAAGTAATCAATAGTTGCTTTTTACTTATTTAGGTCTCACATGATAGAATGTCATTAGAACAATTTTCTTGGCACTGCAAGGAGCCCTTCCAATAAATCTGCCCCCTCCGATACTTCCTGATGTGTTAGACACTCAATAATGTTGGTTACGCTGATTGATTTTGAGATTGTCAGCCATCCTGGGTGTTTTCTCTTTCATTAGAGAATCGTTACCGATTTACTGCTTGACTACCACGTATGTGTGACTGGAGCTTCACTCTCATTGTGCGTCACGACGAATATGCTTGTGACTTTTCCTCATTTGTTTGTCCATTAAGACATTTTTAACCCAGTGAAGACACTTGAGGCTGTGTTTTTCAGAGGTGTGTTTCACCAGATCCCTTCTGCTTGGGAAGAATGTTGACGACTCTCGCTGATGGGCACTTTGTCTTTTCTTTGTCCTGCAGGCACCACCGTGGCACTCGTCATTCTGGCCTTGGGGTTTCTGCTGTCAGCTCAGGTCTCCCCACGCATCACTTTCAGACCAGCGGCTCCCTCAGGCCAGAACACCACTTGTACAAGATACAGGTGAGATTCCATTAGGTTCCCCTTGCTGAAGCAGCTGGCACCGTTTGGCTTTGCATTTAAGCTCTTGTCAAGTTGGTGAGATGAGTAGAGATGCTACTCAGATGACAGGACTCCATCCATCTTTATGGCTAAGAAGTGTTCCACTGTGCATCTGCGTAGACACTGCAGCCTCTCTATTCCGTCATCTGTCATTGTACACCTTGGTTGAGTCAGTCTGTGTCTTGACCGTTGTACATAGTGCAGCAAGAAACACAGATGTGAAATATTTGTTTAATACACTGACTTCATTTCCTTTGCAAACATACCCAGTAGTGAGATGGGTGGATCATATGATACTTAGTTTTTTAGGAACCTTCAAACGGTTCTACGTAATGACTGTACCGGTTTCCTACCTCCCATCCCCTAGTGCGTGTGTGCATGCGTGCACACACAAACACACACACACATGCACAGGTATAAGAGCGCCTAATCTCCACATATCTGCCAGCATTTATCTTTTCTTGCTAACAGCTGTTGTAACTCTTCTCTGTTACGGTTTTTATTCACATTTCCTTGATGATTCATGATGTTGAGCACTTTTTCATTTCATTCTTGATCATTTGTATATCTGTTGAGAAATATATAGTCAGATCATTTGTTCATTTTTCAAATCATAGCATTTGTTTTTCTGTTGTTGGGTTTCTTGAGTTCCTTGTACATTCTGGATGTCAATCCCTTGTCATATGGAGAGGTGACAGTTTGCCTATTATCTCTTCACTCTATTGATTTTTCCCTTCAGTGTGCAGAAGATTTTTCCATTGATAAGATCCCATTTGCCGGCTGGCACCGTGGCTCAATAGGCTAATCCTCCACCTAGCGGCGCCGGCACACCGGGTTCTAGTCCCGGTCAGGGTGCTGGATTCTGTCCCGGTTGCCCCTCTTCCAGGCCAGCTCTCTCCTCTGGCCCGGGAGTGCAGTGGAGGATGGCCCAAGTCCTTGGGCCCTGCACCCCATGGGAGACCAGGAGAAGCACCTGGCTCCTGCCTTTGGATAGGCACGGTGCACCAGCCGCAGTGCGCTGGCCTCAGCGGCCATTGGAGGGTGAACCAACGGCAAAGGAAGACCTTTCTCTCTGTCTCTCTCTCTCACTGTCCACTCTGCCTGTAAAAAAAAAAAAAAAAATCCCATTTGCCTACTTAAGCTTTTGTTGCTTGTACTTTTGGGGCCTTATTCAAAAAATCATTGTCTAAACTATTATCTTCAATGTTTCCCCTGTGTTTTCTTCTGGAAATTTCAGTTTTATATTTAAAAATTTTTTTAAATGTATTCACTTATTTGAAAGGCAAAGTGACAGAGAGATAGAGAGGGAGAGGCACAGAGACAAAAATCTACTGTCTGCTGGGCTGGGCCAGGCTGAAGCTAGGAGCCCGTAACTTCATGCAAATCTCCAAGGAGGGTGGCAGGGGCCCAAGTCCTTGCACCATCCTCCAGTGCTTTCTCAGGCACCTTAGTGGGGAGCTGGATCAGAAGCAGAGCAGACAGAAGTGGAACCGGCGCTGTGATAGGGAATGCCAGCATGGCAAGCAGCAGCTTGACCCCCTGCACCACGGTGCCAGCCTCTGGGGTTTTTGTAGATGGTGAGACGTGGCCGGGGAGCTGGGGGTAGGGACGGGGCTGCTGGACAGTGTGTCCAGTTTAGTTCTTCTGTGTGTCAATATCGGTTCTTCTGCAGCCATTTATTGTAGAAACTATTCTTTTCCAGAACGTGACTTTTGGCACCATTGTCGAAGATCTTTTGGTTGTAGATGTGTGGGTATATCTCCGGGTTTTTGTTATCTTCCTTTGTTGTGTGTGTTCATTTTTATGCTAGTACTATGTTGTTTTGATTACTATAGCTTTGCAGTATGTTTTGAGGTCAGTATTGTAATATCTCCAGCTTTGTATATTTTGCTCAAGATTATGTCATCTCTCTAGTGGCTTTTGAGGTTCCAAATGAATTTTAGGATTTTTTTTTTTGCATTATTTCTCTGAAAATGCCATTTTCATTTGATGAGAATTGTGTTGAATCTGTAAATTATTTTGAGTCTGTGGACATTCTAACAGTATTGATTCTTCAATTCCACGAACATGGAAGGTTTTTTCATTTTTGTGTGTGTTCTCTTCAGTTTCATTCTGCAGTGTTTTGCCATTTTCGATACAGAAATCAGCCACTTCCCTGGTTCACTTTATTCCTGTGGGGCTTGTTGTTTGTTTTGTTGTTTGTTTGTTTGTTTTGAGCTATTGTGGAGAGGAATGCTTTCTTCATTGGTTTCTCAGCAAGTTCATTACTGTTGTATAACAATGCACCACCTTTTACGTGTTGGTTCTGTAGAGCGATTCCCAGTTTCACTGTGAGCACTGAGACAGAACAGATCATAGATTACGTCACAGAAATGTGGTTGGTCATTACATGAGGCAAGACTGTGCTGGCAGTCTTAGAAGCATGGAATCTTAGGTGTCTGGGGAGTGGGGATTAGCATATGACCCTCCACTTGAAGGAAAGTTCGGGAGCGGAGGATTCTCACCTGTATACGGTAATCAAGGCCATGGACAGGGGTGACATCTGGTCCGTAGGTGAGATACTTAATGAAGACTCAAGCTGCCCTTGCGGCCCCACCAGTAGTTCACCCCTCCGCTGGCCCTGCCTTCTGCCTACACTGGGCACTGCTAGACCTGTGGTGGAACCCAGTGCCAGCCTCCTGTGTCACACCGAGGGAACCTGAGGCCCACGTACAGCATGTTCCTTTCCCGTGCTGTGTTCCCTCCCTGCGTGTGCTTCGAGCTGCCCTAGATGTATTCACTTATTTGAAAGACAAAGAGACAGAGAAATAGAGAGGGAGAGGCACAGAGACAAAAATCTTCTGCCTGCTGGGCTGGGCCAGGCTGAAGCTAGGCCCCACTTTCCCATCCTCTTGTAGCTCACGCAGTTCTTCAGGCCTTGTTAGGAGGAGATGGATGCTGTAGCCACTCTGTTGCCTTTGCTCGGCCCGTGTCCTTGTTGCCCTGGACCAGGGCGAAGGTTGTCAGAGAAGATGACTTGGAGAGTTAGGCTGCTTCAGTGACTTCCTGAAGCCTGGTGCCGGCCCCCCTCAGCATGGGTCTTCCCGTGTTAGAGTAGAAGTTGACGACAGGGCCTGTGCTTCTCGTCCCTCGTACTTTTTCCTGTTACTGTTTCTCAGTGACTGTCCGTCTTTCCTTCCCTGAGGCCGGCCTCACCAGGATACGGGAGTGCAGGCTAGAACCGCGTCCTGGTGGTGCCGGGCATCCATCCAGAACCACTGCGGTGTGCTTCGGTGTTGCTCAAGCTGCCGGCTTCCTGCTCTCCTTGTCTCTCCTCCTTAAACTCTGTTAAGCCGAGAGTAGACGGATAAACAAGAGGCCTCTCCCTCTGTGTGGTGATGTCTTTACATCTTCGTCTGCAGAGGGAGTCGCAGGCATCCCCACGGACTCACGGGGCTCCGTGGGGAGGCCGGCACAGAGGGCAGGGGAGTGGTGTGCTCCTCGTTACCTGGGACACGCGAGCTCACTCCCAGTTACAGTGAGCCACCGTTCACTGCACTTTGCTTTTACTCTCTGCGTGGCCTTGTGTGGCTTAACACACAGCGTTGATGTGGGTGGTATAAGGCTGACAGATTCTATCAGAAATCATTCATATAGCCTTAGAAACATGCAAAGCCTTACTAGCCACTATTTTTCCCTCAAATTTGATTTTGTGTGTGTTTCTGGTCGTTCTTAGCCACTTGACTATTAATATAGTTTGCATTAAAACTGCATTCTGTTAAAAATTATTTTGCCTACTGATCATCTATGTTGATTTCTGGGTTGATTGTATAAGACAATCAACCATCTTGATGTTAACAGTTACAGAACTCCGATGAAAAATTTAATTATTGGCTAATATATTCAGAAATGTTTCAGATGAGGATAAATGTATATAAATTGGTAGATAGGGAAAATAAGAGTTGAAACCAAAAAAATTCATGGTATCTTGCCATGTGGCCTTATCTCCATAACTTTTGCTAGCACTTAAATGCCCAGTGCTGAATTTGACACCTGAGGAAGAAAATTATTCATTCATTCAAGAGACAGACAGACATCACCCATTACTGATTTATACCTCAAACACCCACAAAGCCAGGACTGAGACAAGCCAAAGCTGGGAGCCAGGAACTCAATCCAGGTGTCCCAGGTAGGTGTCAGGGACTGAAATAACTGAACCATCACCATTGCCTGACACATTAAAAACAACAAAGCATAGAACCTGGTTAAGACCATTTGGGGCGGTATTGTGGCATAGCTGCCACCTGTGATGCCCGCACGCCCATCCCATGGGCGCAGGTTCATATCCTGGCTGCTCCACTCCCCTCCCAGTTCTCTTCCAACATCCTGGGAAAAGCAGGGGAAGATGACCCAAGTGTTAGGGCCTTGCTACCCATATGGAGACGAAGAAGCTCCTTGCTCCTAGCTCCAGCCTGGCTCAGCCCCGGAGGCTGCAGTTAGCTGGGGAGTGAACCAGTGGATGGAGACTGACTCTCTGTCTCTCCCCCTCCCTCCCTCTCCCCCCCCTCCCTCCCTTTCTCTCCCTCTCTCTCTCTCTCTCTCTCTCTCTCTCTCTCTCTCTCTCTCTCTCTCTCTCTGCATGTGTGTGTGTGTGTGTGTCCCTCTCCCTCTCCTCCTCCTTCCTTTCCTCCCTCTCTGTGTGTAACACTGACTTTCACATAAATAATCTATTTAAAAAGACATTTAAAAAATAGTTTAAGAATCTTCATTGAAAGTGATGCTGAAAACCATTATTTTGGCTGTTTGGGTATGTGAGTGGGTAGATGAGTGTGGTGTTGGTTTAGGCAGAAGGTAGGTGGTACTGGCCAGGGGAATTTTTGATTTAATTTTAACCCTAGAATTTCAGCATAGATTTTAGAAGATTTGGCAGTAGCTGCTGTGGTCAGAGAGGAGGTGATTTCTGAGCTTTGTCTCCTTGATGT